TCTTTCTTTGCTTCATCTTCATTGACTCCTTGCTCTCTGCCTCTAGCATCCAAAGGATGAGATGTTCCTGCTTCAGTTTCATGATCTTTTTCTCCCCCTTTTTGATCAGAAAGAGCCTTCTGAATCATCTCCACCATGGACTGATGATAGGTAATCTGAGCTAGAGAATGAGTAAGCTGCTGCAATAGAAGATCTCTAGGAACATACACAAGTAGGTTAGAAGTGTTGTCAACATGAGGTGCAACACCCTCAGTACCAATGTTATTTTGACCTGATTCAGTTGAGAGAAAATCATCTCCATTCCAGGGAAGATCTTGAACATGAGGAGCTCTCAGAAAATTTTGAGAAACCGTGATCATGCCTTGTGGAGTGTGAAGGTATTCTGAGTCATCTTGGCCCAATTTTTGAGAGAGTAAGATGGAATAGATGAGAGAAGGATAGGGGAGGTGAGTGGAGGGTGAAATTTTCTGGGCAAGATGACCAATAGTATCAAAGAACAGTTTGCCAAAATCCACGGGTAAACCCATCCCCAATTTGTACATGAGTACAGCATGAGGCTTAGTTACCACAGAGACATTTTTGGATGGAATCCAATTAGTCACTGTGAGTCTAAACAGGACAGAGTAGAAAGCAGTGAGTTGAGACACTTGGAATTTTCTTGGGTGTGCAGGCCAATTTTTTAAACGGTTTCCAGAAATAACTTTGCAAATCTCAGTAAAATCACCATAATTATCCTCATCAATCACAGTAGGAGTTTGTAAATGAGAGTTGATAATTTTGGGAGAAAAAGAAAAAATGGCATTGCGCACAAAAACTTTGCCAAAGTTTGGAGAGTTTTTCTTTAAAAAGGAGGTTTGCAAATTTGCATAAAATTCCTTCACAACCAAGGGATCATAAGAGCAGGCAATCTCAACTAGGTTAAGAATTTTTCTTTGGTGAAGAAATGCAGTTATCCTATGCCTATCAAATTCTTCCTTAGAAATTTTCTTTTCCTCAATGAATTGACAATTCATGACTTGAGGACTCAACAGTGAATCAGATTCAAAATAAAAATGAGGACTGAAGGCATTGGTTACCTCAAAAGGGGTTGACAAATTCTTCCCATCCAAGTCTGGTTCTTCTTCTTCTGAAAAATCATCATCTTCTGAATCTTCAAGCTCATCAGGGACATATGCTGGTTCAGGTGATGCAGCAGGTGGGGCAACACCTTCTTCCTGCTGAGAAGAATCTTCAGAGGATTCACTGTCAGAATCAGAAGAGGACAAGTTTTTGCGAAAAGTAGCTAGTGGAACCTCCCAACTGTCTTCACTTTTCTCTGATTCTTCAGCCTGAGGAGGAGTTGCATCTGCTTGAACTGCTGCTTCTGCCAGAGTTTCCAGAGGATCTCCATGAGGTGCTGATGGAGTTTCTTCTGTAGTGGTGAAGTCTTGAGCATCCACAGATGGAATATCTACATGCTCTGCTGATGACATTCCAGAGAAATCAGGCATTTCTTCATCCTGATAAGGGCCAGCATCCTCAGCAGCATTCTGAGGAGCATTTTCTGAAACAGTAGGTGCAGCAGCATCTTCTGTAGCATGTGCAGCAACACCTTCAGAAACAGGTGCAGCAGCATCTTCTGGAGCAGAATGTTGAGAGGCTGCTGTTGCCATGCTGGGCTGTGATGTCTCCCCCTGAGTTGATGCTGGGGAAGGTGAGTTGTTGGATGATGACTCGGAGGAACTGGAGGACAAGGCTTGAGCCTGTGGTGCAGCAAATGTAGGGTCTCCTTCTTCATCATCAGTTTCTTCATCCACCAAATGAAGACCTCTTGGTGGATTTGACCTAACAGGAGTGCGGCCACCTCTGCCTCCTCTTCTTCCACCTCTGCTTCCTCTCCGGGGAGAGTTTTCTCCTCTCCGGCGTTGTGGCACCGCAGTATTCAGATCTGGGAAGGGGTTTGTGCGCTTGGACCGGCGCGTTGGAAACCTTCCGGCGGTGGAAGAGGGACCCACAAAATCAAAATTATCTGGGTCAATCGGGTTCAGCTCATCTCCGGGCTCAATGTAGCTGATTGGAACAGCTTCAAAGTTGATTGGATGAACGATGATGGCCAGATTTGGGTCTGCTGGTACAGGTGCTGCAGCATCGTTGTGGACATCACCATCGGCGGCTGGAGGAGGATTTCTAGGTGGGGATGCCATGATACAGTAGATAAAGGAAAATAGCTTCTTTGTGCTTTTGATTTTTGAGTGTGAATTTTTTAGAAAATAAGCACGAAATTTATAAGCCCTAATTTTGCTGAAGAGAGAAAGAAAAAATTGAAGTGGAGAAGGTGAAGAAGTGGTGTGCGTTTTTCTTGGGGAGAGTGTGATTAAGGAGAATAAAATTTCCTTGGCAGTTTAAAGAAGAAACGTGACACATGGCACAATAAGGAGTGGACTTAGTGGAAAATAAGGAATTAACCCATGTACCCATGACCCATATAAATAGGGATAATTCAACAAAAAAAATAAAACCGTAGCGTAGCACTCATGAAATATTCACAAAAATAGAAAAACTCATTTATTAATGATTGATAGTGAGAAAAATTTGCTGACAGGCATAGATACAATTATATATATATATATATATTTAAATTTTTTTTTTTTTTTTTTTTTTTATAATATATATATATATAAACTCTTATTTTCAAGTCAAACAATTCACATGGAACATGATCAAGTGTTCAGTTTGAGGGTTCCTCAGTTACTAAGATATGACTATCAAAATAGAGGAGTTTGACTTATGTGAGTGTAATTATTGGCTAAATGTTTACATGAAGCATGATCACGTTTCAAGGTGAAAGACTTCCAGTTACTGATTTAGAAAATAATACATCACAGTGAAGTCATTATTTAATGAAGCTAATGCTTCAGTAAATTGTGTTGCAGCTTAAGATATTTGATGAGGTGCTGCAACACGTTCCAGGACATGTTTATTGAGTACACATCCCGAGAGATTTTCTGAGTTTTGAAAACCTCTCATAATCTAATGCCTTTGTAAAGATGTCAGCCAGCTGATCTTCTGTAGGAATGTACTTTAAGCACACAATATTTTTCTCAACTATATCACGAATAAAATGATGTTTAATATCTATGTGTTTAGTTCGTGAGTGTTGAACAGGATTTTTTGAAATGTCAATAGCACTTGAATTATCACAATATATGGTCAGGGTATCACTGGTTAACCCATAATCCCCCAACATTTGTTTCATCCAAATTAGTTGACCACAACACCCTCCAGCAGCTACATATTCTGATTCAGCTGTTGAGAGAGATACACAGTTTTGCTTTCTACTAAACCAAGAAACTAGATTATTCCCCAGAAAGAAACATGCACCTGAGGTGCTTTTTCTGTCACTAATATCCCCAGCTCAATCAGAATCACTAAAGCCTATCAAGTTTGTATTTGTGTCTTTGAAAAACTGAATCCCTAAGTCTACTGTACCTGCAACATACATAATAATCCTCTTCACAGCTTTAAGATGAGTGACCTTGGGATTAGCTTGATATCTGGCACACACACAAACACTAAACATAATATCAGGCCTGCTTGCTGTTAGATACAGAAGGCTTCCAATCATGCTTCTGTAGAGAGTGCTGTCGACATCTTCTGCAACATCATCCTTAGACAGTTTTTGGCTGGAACCCATTGGAGTTTTCATGTGCTTGGCTGATTCCAACTCAAACCTTTTGACCAGATTGAGAGCATACTTCTTTTGATTCACAAACATTCCTTCACCTGTCTGTTTGATTTGGAGTCCTAAGAAGTAATTCAACTCCCCTACCATACTCATTTCAAAAGTGTGAGACATAGAATCTACAAAAGACTGCAAAAGGTTAGCACAAGTAGACCCAAAAACAATGTCATCAACTATCTGAACAATAATGATATGATTATTAGTTCTTCTAACAAACAAGGTTCTGTCTGCCTCCCCTCTTTTGAACTGTATTTCAAGTAAGAAGTCAGTGAGTCTTTGATACCAAGCTCTAGGAGCTTGTTTAAGACCATACAGTGCCTTCTTAAGCTTGAAAACATGATTAGGTTTGGCAGAATCTTCAAAACCCTTTGGCTGTTCTACATATGCTTCTTCATTTAAAACTCCATTCAGAAATGCACTTTTGATATCCATCTGATACAGTTTGATTTTAAGAAAGCAGGCTATAGCAAGAAGTAATCTAAT